AAAATATTGACATTTGTAACGAGTGTGATTAAAAGAATTTATGAATAATCCCTATTCATCCTAATGCGAGATACTAAAAAGTTTTCATTTTGTATGATTATTAATGCTCGGAATTGTGTTCAAGATTGCATATATATACATATATGTATATATTATTAGTGTATGTGTATATCGATCGATTGATTTCTGTTTAAAATGAACTCTGTGTAAGTATGATAAATTGTTATTGTAGATACATTTAATAATGTTTTTGCCCTGTAAGCAGCTGAAGAGAAGGCGACGAAATAAAATATGGTACCATTTTATTCTGCAAAATCTGTAGTTGTTGCTTTGTTTAAATTCATTAAGGGGAACAAATGTATGAAATCCCTATTCAGCCATTGATGAAAGTAAAACGCGTAGTTCAGTGAAGAGTCTCTTTTCGGTGGCGAATTCATTCACACTTAGTTGTGCAATCGCAGTTTCCAAGAGTTGATTTGTAGGAATTTGATTTATTTATCGAGTATGACCACAAATTAGTGTCAGTTAGAGAACCATTGAAGACCAGTACTGGTGTACTGGACAGCTGTTTCATCCTGGTTTGGGAATCATCGGCAGTACGCACTCACTGGGGTTCTAACGAATTGGTAGCAGTTAGAATTCATGGACTGGCCACTGAATCGGGTCCCACTGGCTGAATGGTGTACGAGCTTGCTTTTGTTAGGTCGTTCTTCACTTCGTCAATCACTTTGAAGGATGAGGCGTTAGTTCAGATGGAATGATCAGTGTCGACGAGATGTTCGATTATCTCACTCCTTATACAGTGACTATTCCTATTTTTGTACAACAGATTTAATTTTCAGGCATGTGAATTAGTTCCAGTTGTTAGGTTTTCGTCGCGAGCCAGTAATAGTTAGACGAATCACTGAAAACCACCAGGGAGTACTGGACAGCTGTTTCGTCCTATTTTGTGATTCCTCATCAGTCGGAACCCACCGCCCTGCTAGCAAGGCGTTTTGACCATTGAGCTATCTGGGCTGGAATTCAGTGACCCCAGAATTCTAACTTTCTTAACTCATGTTATAGTATTGCCGTTACCAATGCCTCCTATGACCATCGAATTCATCTTGACTTACGACTGCAGTTTCAAGAAATCCATCCAGTGCTTCTTGGTGGTATTCAGTAGTCTCTCTAACTGATGTTCACTTGTGACGAAAATCTAAACAATGAAATTAATCCAGAATACCCACAAACCGTATCACATCTGAATATGGATTAGTGGTTAATAATCGAGGTGATAGTAATAACAATAATAGGGATAAATTCATGCAAGTGTTTATAATATAATCTAGGTATACGATCGTTGCAAATGTGTAAGTAAAACGTTTATGATTGTAGGGCTAGACAAGCAAATAATTACTGTCCCACAGGGACTAGAGAATATAACAGTCATCAACTGTGAAACTAAGAAATAAATATGCTGAACTGGTTGATTTAATTGTGAATCTTTCGTCGTCCACCATCTAGAAAACATCCCGCCCTCAGTGCAGGTTTTAGGTATAAAATGAACTCATTTAAATTCTCCATGAATAATGGATGTAATTGTATCACTATACTGACAATCATTGTCATGTGTGATTGGCTATTAATTTACGTCTCTATTGATCGTAAGACCTATATATATTTGATTCCACAAACACATTCAGAATGATATAGGCAGTTTGTAGTGTTGTCGATGATTGGTGACCAGTCTTTCCTAAATTGTTGAACCACCACCCGCTTAATGGAGTTATGAAATACAAGCTTTGTGACACAACAAATTCTCCTGAAAGCTTTATCAAGTCTTCGTTTGACTACTTCTTGTATGCCATCTTCTTTGAATGAAAGACAGATATATGCAGCTCCTTTTGAAACGGTTTGGATAGTTGGTAATAGATAGTAGAAGGCAATCGGCAGGAAGCCTTGGACCTAGGTTTCGTGCTAGTTGGCACTCATCAGCAAGGTGTATCTGCAACCTTGAAGGAACTGATGTCCCTTCTGAGATTCGAACCCGCGTCACCCAGTGCTGCGGTCAGAGACGTTACCACTGAGCTATTCAGGCTCGCGATTGACCTCCTGTAGGACTGTATTGGATATTTTTGATTGCACACTAGTCAGTAACTAGTGTAATGCGTCTAGTCCTATCTTCGCTGCAGACTGAATTCTATCAGTCAAGCTTGCAAGGTTGCAGATACGCCTTGCTGATGAGTGCCAACTAGCACGGAACCTAGGTCCAAGGCTTCCTGCCGATTGCCTCCAACCATCTATTACCAACAATTCACAGTGCACCGTAATGGCGAGCCACCTAGCATGGTGGCCACATTGCAAGCTTGACTGATAGAATTCAGTCTGCAGCGAAGATAGGACTAGACACATTACACTAGTTACTGACTAGTGTGCAATCAAAAAGATTTGGATAGTTTTATTGACTTTTATTTCTTTAGAATATATAATGACAAACCTCTCAGGATAGCAGTTCTTATGTAATACGAATGAAATAATTCCCTCAAAATCTAAGCAAAGCTTGATTACAATATTTGATGTTTCTAGTCTGAATATACCCCATCTTATAACATTAAACCGTCGATATTATTGACGATAATAAAGCGCAAATGCCTTAGAATGCATTAAAAGAGTTGAAGGGCTTTCATTCCCGTAAACTGTATTCAAAACAATCAATAAACTGTACACTCCTATTGATCTAATTCGAAGATTAACGCTTAAATTTCATATTCACGAAAAGACTCAGTTGTTAACCTCCAACTGTCTATGTATGCATGAGTTGTCTGAAAGATCGGATGCTCAACAACCACATTGGAAGTCTGAGTTAGATTTCCGACCGGCAAATTACTAAACCACACATTGTTTACTGGTGGATAGTAGACTTAGAAAAGAAACAAGGTTGGGCGTAAAGCTATTAACCCTAACCCATGAGAACAGTACCGCAGCTGCTGGAACTTTAAAGCATGAGACCCTACATACCTCTCGGAACTCTGTGTGAAAAATGAACCTCTTAGAGAAATTCACATCATGTGTCCCCTCTTTTGGAAGAAAGATACTTTTATTTCAGTGTTTCTAGTACGCTTCAGAGTCAGTTAGCAGGAATTATAGCTCTCATTGTGGATAAAAATATTTTCCTACGTTTTCAATTACTATTACTATCGCTCACTGGTTATTTTTCCCTACGAGGCAGTAATTCATTATCGCCTCCTAATGGCTAGCCAATCACGTTCAACATACAATCACACAGGTAAGGAACAACCAATCGGAATAAAGCAAATTAATGAACATACGAAGCTGCATTTATTTAGATGTCTATCATGACACTGAGACGCTTACAAGCTGAAATATTCATTCGCCAAACTACAGAATAGCTAAATTAGAAACACAACAGTCACCTATATAATGAATGCCATAAGTAATCATTCTATGCTTTGTTTCAACAACAGGGGGAACTGACGAGGATATAAAAGCACTGAGGATAGGGAAAGTAAGGCAAGCTTGCATTACACTCAAGTCTGTTTGGAGGTCAACAGCACTACTCAGCATGAAAAATGAGATCCGGATTTTCAACTCCAATGTGAAGTCAGTGCTACTATACGGAGCAGAGACTTGGCCAGCGCGTCACGAAAGGCACTTGAAACAAACTACAGACCTACATCAACAGCTGTCTTCGCTCAATACAACTCAAGATCAGATGGCCGGCCAGAAAAGATCAGCAGCAGGGATCTCTGGCAATGAGTGAACCAACTCAGAAGGAACCGATTGTGCGACAAATATGCAGGAAGAAATGGATTGGTGAATTGGCCATACTCTGAGAAAACAAACCATCAAGTGACACCACACTCCAGGCCATCGCTCAAGTGCATCCCGAATGGGAAGCGTCGAGTTGGTAGTCAGTGCGAGGGGGACATGGGGGAGGAGGTGAGGCGAAGCGGAGATGAAGACACTGTGGGCAGACGTGGAGGCAGGTGAAAACGTTGACGGAGAACCGAACGCAATGGAGACGTGGGGCTGAAGCCCTATGTTCCCCTAGGAACTAAAGGACACAAATTCAGATTGAGTAAATATTACACACTAAATTCTTTTTTTCCATTCCTTTGCTTCCCATGTGGAACATATGGTGCCAAGTCAGAGGTTTTTTTCAATTTTCAGCAGCCTTCCCTATTTACTAACTTACTTTACTTTACTTCGGTTATCTCCTACGGGAGGATGAGCCGGCTTCATGAACATCTCGAATCATCGCTGCCCAGGCGCAGCGATCTGATTTGTAAGAGAGTTCATGAAGTTTCATGGGAATTCGGTACGAGTGATGTCCCCAGAATCGCTCGGCCTTTTGTTTGAGAGTGCAGCTCTAGCCTTTACACAACCAAGTGTGACCTACAAGGCAGTAGGAGTGGAGTAGGCAGTCCATTATCCATTGGTAGCCGGTGACCGGAGTTCGGTTCATACGTCTTTTGAATGGGGCCAGACATCCAAGACATCCAACAAGCCCTTTGTCCATACGTCTGCCGGTGAGCTCCAGTGAGCTTCATACGCCAGTCGTTGGAGGTTTGGAGTCAGGGTTTAGCCATCTCCCCTAGACTGTCATCCAATGGACAGTCAACCCGGTGAAGAGCGCCGGGCATCCGCTTTCGCCCTCTCACTTTGGTGAAAAACACCTCCGCCACGTGAAGGCAGTGATTAGGACTTCCTCAGGAGAGCCTATGTAAGACGCTCGGTCATATGGGAGCATTTCAAGAGGTGTGCGGAGGGGTGGCCAACCTGCAGCACAAGGCACCCACCCCCGACCATCCTGAGGCTTTGGAGGCCTTATTTACTAAGCCTACTACCGGTTAAGGGGAAGTTTTAATGGAGTACGTCGGATAGGAATCGAACCTAGAACAACGTGTGTGCCTAGCGGATTAGTGTTCTACCATTGAACCAACAATGCGCAACACACGCTTACGTAGACAAAGTCACTGAGAAAAAAATAAAACATGTCAAGCGAAATCCTTTATTTTCATAGACATATATAAATGAAATTTATATTGCATATGAAAATACTACTAATGATCTATACACAATTCACTTTAATTTTACATTATTTTTAGAAATAGAGAAAAGAGTGTTAGAACAAAGAAGGGAACAGAATGAAAGAGATTTGAGCAATAATATATAAATGAGCACAGGGGCACATAGACAAGACAATAAAAGAGAAACTGAGAGGTAAAAGAGAGAAAGAGAGAGACGATGTATCGAAAATGAATGAATGTACTTGTAAGGTGCAATAAACACAGAGAAAATTTTGAGAAAATGTAGCGATAAGCGGAAGAAAAAGAAAAAGAAGAATAAATAACTGTGGTGTAAACGATGTTGCCTTGACAACACCCACACAATTCATCAAGTCATCGAACACCTACGCACGCACGTCCGCCCACGCACGCACACACAGATACACTCCAATGGAAAAATTAACAACCTTGAAAGTGATCATAAACTATCTCTGAGTTCGTCTGTTCTGATTTGTGCATGTTTGTGTATTGTATGTTCGTGTGTGTATATGTGTGTGAATGTGTTTTTGATCAGATCAAATTGACACAGTGTTTTCAGTTAGCTAAACGACGAGAACGAAACCAACAAAACAAAAACACACTGAACTGAACTGAACTGAGCTGGACTAATGTTCCGTTTTACGCTGTCTTGTATGACTTCCCCGACTTGCATAACCATTGGTTTGTTGTACCGCAGAACCATTCTCATGATGTGATTTATTATCCTTGACACCTGCTGCTCCTGCATGACCATTTTGTTCGCGTAAACCTTTAGCCAATCTTTGTTTATACCAATAGGCTTTAATATAGAAATTAGAGAAGAGGACAAGAAATAGGCTGGCATAGAGGACAATAGCTGCAGGAAATACTTTAGGATAATTGCACGGTGTTGAACTGACAAATATTTGACCTTGATGTACAATTAATATAACAAATTGAATCATTTGTGCTAAGGTGAGATAATTTTTCCACCATAAATAACGATATGCTCCAGCAGCTGCTAATCCATAATACGTATACATTATAATATGGATAAAACTATTCGCCAACGGGAACATGTACGCTATACCACCTATATAAAGAGAGGAAAAGATAGAAAATAAATAGTTGCGTAATAAATTGAATCTATAAAATAACAAGAATACCTTCAGAATACTTCAGTGTGTCTGTGGAGTAACGGTGTGAAACCGAGATCCCGATCGATCTTCACTGACTCCGTCAAATAACAAAAAAAAACAGACAATATAAGACTTAATGATTATAACATTTCTGAGCATTGTCTCAACTACAGGAGGAACGGACGAGGATGTCAAATCGAGCGAGGATCGGGAAGGCGAGAAACACATTCATCAACCTGAAACCAATCTGGAAATCTTCGTCACTCAACTCAGAATCAACAACAAAATTCGGATTTTCAATACAAACGTCAAGTCAGTCAGTTCTTCTATACGTACGGATCAGAAACTTGGCGGGTCACAAAGAATATTTCCAACAGCCTGTTGCAGACCTTTATCAACAACAGTCTTCTTCGCTGTATACTCAAGATCAGATGGCCGGAAAGAGTCACAAACAAGAAACTATGGGAACAAACAAAACAAGAACCAATCGTCCAACAAATATACAGGAGAAAGTGGAAATGGATTGGACACTCGCTGAGGAGGCCGTTGGGTGACATCGCGCGTCAGGCCATCGCTCGAGTGGAACCCGAGAGGGAAGTGGCGAGTGGGACGTCCAAAGGTGACATGGAGGAGATCGTGTAAAGAGGAGCTGAAACAGTACGGACTAACACGGATGCAGGTGAAAAGTACAGCAGAAGGAAGTGGAGACGTGCAGTTGAAGCCCTATGTTCCACTAGGAACCCAAGGGAACAATAATAATAATAAGCCCAATAAAGACGGAAAGTTAGGCATAAGGGATTAGCAATCCCACCTCAGGAATAAATACCACAGCTACTGAAACGTGAAAGCTCAAGCTTGAATCCTTCTTAGTTTCCACTCGGGACACTAAGGAATGCAAAAATAAAAAGAACAATGAACATTGAGTTATTCATGAATTCCATGGAATACGCTATTCTATTTTACAAGAAGTTACGTTGTACTTATTCAATTTCAATCTGATATCAACTACGTGGGCGAATGAGACGACTTCGAGCTGATAAAGGCTGTTTTATTGACGGTTACATGATCAAGTGTACTACTACGATACAGTGCTCGAGTTTACATGGAAAACAAAACGATAATTGGTAATTAAGAAAGCAGGGATAAATGCATGATGTTATATACCATCGATGTATTTATACTCCGCAAGTGAACAATACGACATTTCAATGAACAATTTGTGCGTGTGTGTGTGTGTTTGTGTCTTTGCGTATTGAATCTGTCCCACTGTCTGTATGACTAACTAACTATCAACTCAATGTAGATTTCTTCATGAACCAACATCAATTAGGGAGATCATTGAAAACCAAGGAACCAAGTGTTTCGTCCTAGTTTGTGACTCTTCATCAGTGTGACAACACCCACGACACTACCACCAGGTAGTGTGAACCGAAAACCTTCAGGTTTTAAGACAAAGCTTGTTAACCATTCAACAATATCATTTAGCCCTCTTAAAACTTGGTAATCAATTTCCTGTGAACTTTAATAGCTTACAAATATGTTGACCAGTTTAGTTTGTCAAAAGAAAGGCGTGAAAATTAATAATCACACAATAATAAATAATAAATGAACGTTCACAGTAATCATCATGAAAGCTATTCAAAATGTAGTATAAAACAGTAAAGGGCGTCAACTACAACTAATACACTGATTATCTTTCTATTTTCAATGAAAGGTAGTAGTGAGAATTGAATTAACTGGGTCAGATTTGACATAAATAAGTGTGAAGTGATTTTAACATTATTAGTGGTGTAAATGATGCTTAAATTTGACCTTGAAGGATAGATAGATAGAAGGAGAGAGGGAGAGAGAGGATTTCTTATACTATATAGCTGGAACGACAACATGTCGTCAGTTCATTCATACATGTCTACTGGCATAAATATAGGAAGTGAATATTTTGACTGAGAGAAATTCTGAAATAATATTCTTAAAAAAGAAAAAAAGGTGTAGTTGAGATGCATTCAACATTTGCCCAAATCTCTACACTTCATTTCTCTTCTACTCTTTTCTTTAGCCAATTGTAAACTACCATAGGTGAGAATCATATGTCAATTATAGTGAGTCAAGTCTGCAGACGGATTGTTATCAGTTAGAGAACCATTTAGAACCACTAGAGAGAGAGTACTGGACAGCTGTTTCATCCTAGTTTGAGCTGATCGGCATTACGCACCCACTGGGGTTCAAATCCAGGACCTTCAAGTTGCAAAGCGAGCGCTCATTGACTATTTAGGCACTACTGGGACTCGATTCAACGGCCGATAAAATTCCAAATTCTACGAATTCTCGGTCACGCTAAAATCATGAATTAATTGGTAGAAGTCGGAATTTATGGACTACTGAGTCGGATCCCAATGGCTGAATGTTCTAAAGACTCGCGTTATAACTAAAAGGTACTGGATTCGAACACTGGCTGTGGTTGCGTACTGCCAGTCAGTCCCAAACTTAAAAACGAAAGTCTGTCCAGTACAACAAGCTAGTTTTCACTGGTTCTCTAAGTGATATCAATCCGCGACCAAACTTGAGACAGATCAAATCCCTACAAAGTGACTCGTGAAAATTCTAGTTTAATTAAACAGGGAAAACGTATTTTATTCTCAGCTGTTTCACCAATACCATGGCCTTAAATCAACGTTGGTTAACTGTGAATATAACTGAGATGCAGTATGTTGAAGACAGCTAACAAAACACAAGAGCAACAACTGGGTTAAATTCTTGATGGGGTCGTAAGTTGCTGCTGATGCTGCTGGATTCAACATAGAACTTGGCACCGAAGTGCAGCAGTTCGAGTTGCCACGTTCCAAATAGCACACAAAGGTAGACAAGGAAATGAGTGAAGAGAATCAATAGAGTTTTGACAAGTATAAGAGTGAAACAGAATGAGTAATGGTAGAAAGGAATATGAAAGGTTAAAGAGACTGAATACATCTGCGTAAGCCCTTGACAACGATTTTGAGCCATGTCACCTATTGTCTCCAGCCATTGATTCTTAGAGTCCCGAGGGCGGGCCCCAACCCGGAAGTCTGCATCTCCCTCCCTACCTGACTCAGTTTAACTGTAAAGGATTTCATGGATTGATGGATGCCATGTTTTTGTTTGGTATGGCAGCACTTACTCTTTTCCAACCTGCACCTATATCAGCTAGTAATGCCCGTCCGTTGGGGGAGACGATGGTTAGGCATGCGCAGCACGTGGCCTAACCATCTCAATCTATGTAACTTTATAGCCTCCTCGATTGATTTTCTCTCTTTGCCCAACACTCTACGCCTATCGTCAACATTACTTACCTTATTATACCACCTAACGCGAGAAAGAGATCGTAAACATGTGGTCAAAAACAGACAATCTCTTCATGTCTTCCGCTCTCAATGGCCACGTCTCACCGCCATAGAGAAGGACGGAGCGAACTGCTGAGCAGTATACAGGGGTCGTAAGTGCGGACTGATAAGGATCCTTCCGAACAAGGAAGAAACAGCTGTCCAATACTCTCCACCGGTTTTTGACTGAAGTCAGTTGGTGATAAGTCTTGAGACTAAATAACAATCAAGGTAAGATTAACTTGAGAAGTAGATCAGACATATTGTTGTCTAAGTTAGTTTGTATTTGAAACGACAGATGAAGCCTTCAACACGACATATGCAATACGCCAAAACACACGTACACCCACCACAACCCCCACACTAAATGTTTCATTGAAAATTTTCTAAGCAAACAATTGTGCTCGCATTAACTTCGTCTTCTTTCAGGCTCTACGTCTTACTGACTGATTTAGAGAGACGGCTTTTGAGCACACATGAAGCTTGATCACCTTTGAATTGCAAATTTATGAGCAAAGTTTGACAAAAGACTGAAAGGTGCGATAAAAAGAAGCTTCCCTGCAGCTAAACTCATAACATTATACAGCACTACTTCTTATATAAGCCAATCAAAACTGGATAAATACCCTCCCTGCTGATGTCATCTCCAACTGAGTTTATGAATTTACGTGCACTCGCGGGAGCAAGTACATTGGAAGGACGGTTTTCTGAACGTATTTCAAGAAACCTGTGCCTGAAAGAAAGCAAATATTTTCAGAGTGCAATTACCAGACATCTTGTTGATACCAGACATCTTGTAGAGATTTCTAAATCCTTCAAAATATTAAATAGACAAAGAACAGCAAATTTACTACGATTTGACGAAGCGATCGCAATCAAACGATTCAAACCAACCAGACTTATGCATACAGAAAGAGAGTGTGATTAATATCTCACTGAATTTTGATTGTGATTATATTTAATTAGTCATCTAATCCACTGATCTCAACTCATTGAACAAATCCTAATCTCATGAACTGTAACAGCTTTTGTTTTTCGAGTTGCTAAGTGAACCTACAAGCTAACACTGTTCTGTTGATTAATTTTTTCTGTTTTCTGTCTTACCCCTCCCCCACTTTTCTACTTTGAAAGCTTATAAATTGATGATGAAAACTTAAACTAAAAATTGTAATGCTTTCTTTTTGCATGCGTCAGTTTCATAGTATTTCTTCTTTACTACCACTTAAACATTAAAGTATGTTATTATCATTTATATAACCACTGTAATTTCAGGTAGGGGTGTGCAGCTGATGAGAACCTGTGGAATAGAATGATATCATTTTATGCTGCAAATTTCGTCTTCTTTTCTTTATCGAAACCAAAGCTTTCTTTAGAGCTGAGTCGGTGACCATCTGAGACTGCTTATCGCTCTTGTTTCCATCAATATATCGGTTTGGGTAACCGTTTCCTACAAGGGTCGCTTTTAGGTAGGCAAGTTCTGAGTCAACGCAGTCAGAAATACAAATGTTAACAAACAATTAAGTGGCATACTGATGTAATTATGATCAACTATCTCCAGGGTATTCAAGTGTTGGTTTATAGGGATTTGATTGGTTACA